AGACTTAAAAATGATGCTATATTAATATATAATTAGTTAATTAAATCTAATAATTAAAGTAATTAAAACACTATGAAGCAGTTTTTTATTATTAATATTATTAATGTTATAGATAGATATATTACTGATACAATCATTTATTATTGTTATTATTATTATATAAAAAATTAAGAATTTGTTTAAAACAATTAAAAAATGATTAAAATAATTAAAAGAAATTGCTATGAAGCAGTTTTTATTATTAGTGTTATAAAATGGTGATAATAACAACAACAACAATTAAGAATTCAAAATAAATAACTAATTATTTAAGTAATTAATACAGCTGTGAAGCATTAATGTTACTATTAATATTAATAATGTCATAGATATTATATAACCCACAATGATTTTGCTGTGAACATTCATATCCAGTTTCATTGATCACATTTATAAGATGCGTAAATACTCGATAAACTCACCTTGGCCGAGTCACAGATGACGAGTTCAGCAGAAACCCAGTCAGCGACACAGTCTGCGTGTGTGAGGAGCCTCTGCAGCGGGCCCCGGGGCCCCGACACGTCCCTGAGCAACAGACTGCTGCCCTCTAGAGGCGAGGAGGCTGGAGACGCACACCTGACCAACACACAGCAACATTTACACAGTCTGCACACAGAACTAGCAGACAGACTGGACATATCTGTGAAGCTGAAATATAAATATACACACATGCACTTTTTTAAATCAAGATTTTAGGTGAAAATGATTTTTTCGCTTCTCATTTTTACACATTTGTTAATGTTACTGCTGCTGCTGCTGCTATTATTATCATATAGTTGCATTCAATTTGCACATGTTACTGTACTGTTATTTTGCACATAAATCAATATTGTATTTGCACATACAGATGTACATAGTCTATACTTCTATATCTACATAGTTTATATTTCTACTGCATAGTTTTATTTAATTTTTATTATGTTTGAGTGTGTGTTTATTTTATTTTTTACATAGTTTTTGCTCTCGGCATTCACTGTGGACAGCAAATAAATAATTTCACTGTACAGGGAACCTGTTTTCCTCACTGTGCACATGACAATAAACGCTTTGAATCTTGAATCCTATGCATGTAAAATATGCTGTTTGGTCATTGTTCAGCAGGGTTTTTTTTTTAGAAGAACTAGAATTATAAAATAAAAATGGGACAGCGGAAACTCACCTGGAAATGTTTCCAGAGTTTTCTGTCACTCCGTGAGCTCTTGAGTTCTGGAAGTGAACCGGATGACAGTCCTGAAATATTTCCTGCATAAATAACAGACGATGAGACATGAACATACACGATATAGTGATGCTGTCCTCATATAAAGTCTGTTTCCAAGCGAGAATCAAGACCAGCATGAAAATAAGATGATCATGTGTCTCCACCTAGAGTTGGATCAGGAAATTACAGCATGAGAACAGAGCAGAAAAGACAGGAAAAATAGAGTGATCATGTCAAAATAAAATAAAATAAAATAAAGGATAATAATGAAAATTGGAAATTAAGGACATATGTATTTTGAGTAACACTATAAGCCAAAAGTTTGGAATAATTAAGTTTTTTTTTATGTTTTTGAAAGAAGTCTCTTCTGCTCACCAAGGTTGCATTTATTTGATCACAAATCCAGTAAAAATTGTGAAATATTATTACAATTTAAAACAGCTGTTTTCTATGTGAATATCTGTTAAACTGTAATTTATTTCTGTGATCAAAGCTGTATTTTCAGCATCATTACTCCAGTCTTCAGTGTCACATGATCTTCAGAAATCAGTATAATATGCTGATTTGCTGCTCAAGAAACATTTCTGATTATTATCAATGTTGAAAACCGTTGTGCTGCACAATATTTTTGTGGAAACCGTGATACATGTTATTTTTCGGGATTCACAGATGAATAGAAAGTTCAAAAGAACAGCATTTATTTGAAATAGAAATATTTTGGAGCATTAGAAATGTCTTCACTGTCACTTTTGATCAATTTAACGCATCTTTACAGAACACAAGCATAGTGTGTGACCATTTCCACAAAAATTCTGGGCAGCAGAACTGTTTTCAACATTGCTAATAATCAGAAATGTTTCTCGAGCAGCAAATCAGCATATTATACTGATTTCTGAAGATCATGTGACACTGAAGACTGGAGTAATGATGCTGAAAATACAGCTGCGCATCACAGAAATAAATTACAGTTTAACATATATTCACATAGAAAACAGCTGTTTGAAATTGTAAAAATATTTCACAATTTTTACTGGATTTTTGATCAAATAAATGCAGCCCTGGCGAGCAGAAGAGACTTCTTTCAACATTTAAAAAATCATAATTATTCCAAACGTGTGTGTGCTGTGTGTTTGATGAATGCATTGGGGTGTTTCTGATCACCTGCTCCAGTAAGGTGAGCTGCTGAGTGATGTGCAGCGGCGTGTGCTCGCTCTGACTGAAGGGACGTCTCTCGTCTGATCTCAGACTCATCAGAGAGGCGTAACACGGCCGAGGAAGAGCCGCAGCGATGGAGAAGACTTTCTCTTTACTCTGGAGCGTCTGAGGCTCCACCACACGCCACTGGAAACCCTGCACACGCGTCCACATCAACAACACCATATACTAGCAGCCAGATCACTGACTTCTGCTGAAATGCTTGAAATTAATGTTTTATATAAAATGTGTTCGATTTTCTTAAGGCAAGACACTACATGCAAAACCAGTGTTTTTTCATGCACTGATCAATTTTGACATTTTTTTTAGATGTTTTGCTACTATAACATGTATTTTTTCAGACTAGTGGAAAGAAAACATTCAAAATACAAAGTTAAGTGTTTCTTTTATTATGCCGTAGATTTCAGTTTCAATACATATCTTTAAAGGCCGCACGTTTTTATCCCCCACTTCAGTAACACTTACATTCAACAAACTTTACAGTTTTATTCCTTTCTATATTCTGAAGCTTTTTACTGAGCGGTATGTTCATATATAATTGGCTTGATTTATATTTAACATTGCATTCCTGAAAATAAATGGAAATCATATAAAAAAATTTAATTAGTGCCTTAAATGCATTTTAAAAACAGTTTGATAAACAAAATAAAATAAAACAATAAATAAAAAATAAATAAAATAGTGCATATTTAATTAGATAATGCATCTTTTAAAAACGTATAAATAAACAAACAAACAAACAAACAAACACACACACACACCAACAAACAAACAAACAAACAAACAAATAAAATAAAATAATAAAATAAAATAATAAAATAAAATAAAATAAAATAAAATACATTCATCAAAAGAAGATACCAAGAGCAGGTTACACAGTATTATTTTCATCAACAGTACACTGTGTTCCTAATCACTACAACCCATCTTAATTAGGTACCTAATATCCATCTTTTTAAACACATTTTTATTCATAAGCATGCTGTCATTTTTTCCAGATCCGTCCACTGGTTGGTTGTGTTTCCAATGGACTGTTATCATTGTCTTCTAAATGCAAATTTAACCATAACATTTCAGAAAACCAGTAATAAAAAACCCCAACAATATTTCAATTGGCAATGTAAGTATTGTGATTTCATCTGTGGTGTTTTGCCTTAAATGCTTGAGCATTTTGAGCTTTGACTTGCACAGACCTTTGGAGCAGCATCTTGGATGGATGGTCTCCTGCATGAGGAGTTCACTGAGAGCTTCTCCTCGTCATCTGGGCCGCTGATGGAGGCGTCAAACACACATGACGGGCCACAGACGCGCCTCCTCCTGGGTGAGGCCTGGAGCGCCGCCAGCAAACTCTCTCCTCGACTGTCCACAGGTGCCATCTGAAGTGTTGGGGAAAGTTACTTTGCATTAAAAGTAATGCATCACAATATTGCGTTACTCCCTAAAAAATTGCGGTACTTAGTTACTTATTATGGAAAGTAGTGTGTTACATTACTTTTGCATTACTTTTCCTCATCTGGGCTGGGCTTGCTAATTTGTTTTTAATATAAAAATGTATATTTTTGGCAAATGTAAAGGCCCTTTCACACCAAAAGTGAAATGGATAAGCCTCAGCCATTCTGGATTGCACGAAGCATAGAATGCAGGAGAAGAAAGTTCAACACTCTTCAGCAATTAAAAAAGAAAAACAAATGTCATGTTTATCTTAAGTCATTTTTGCTTATTAATATGGTTGAAGTGGATCATCGAAGGTTGGCAGCAAAGATATTGGTTAAGAAATTGGGATTTAAATGCATACAAGATATTTGTGTTATTTAATACATTTAATTATTGCAGGTTTGCATTGCACTGTTTTCATTCATTTTGAGGAACACTGAATGTGTTTCTGTGCAGTGAGATGAGTAAATGCATGTTTCATGAAGATATTTTGTAAATGTCCTACTGTAAATATATCAAACCTTAATTTTTGATTAGTAATATGCATTGCTAAGAACTTAATTTGAACAACTTTAAAGGCGATTTTCTCAATATTTAGATTTTTTTGCACCCTCAGATTCCAGATTTTCAAATAGTTGTATCTCGGCCAAATATTGTCCTATCATAACAAACCATACATCAATGGAAAGCTCATTTATTCAGCTTTC